GCCTATCCGCGGCTGCTGATGGGAGGAGAAGGGGTCAGTAGGGCGCCGAAGTGTCTTTGCCCTTGAAAACACTGCCCCGCGACCATGGCCGTATTGACAGTACTTCTGCGAGGCGGTGTCCGAGGGCGCAGCCCCCTGCTTCGGAGGCTGATGCAGGTGAGTGGGGCTTGTACCTCCGGTGGGCCTAGGCCCTACCGCGCCCGGACCCACGACTCCGGGAGTCCGTTCTCCGCCTCGAAAGGTTCAGGCCTCGCAGGGTTCCGACCAGCGGCCCCCGCGGCCCGGGCGCGTCCCGCTTCGTGGGTCCCGAGGGAGCCTCGCCTCAGAGTAGGGGCAGCGCGCGTCTGTGTCCGGCCGCTCCGTGGCCCGGGCGTCGGCGCTGTTGGATGCTGGGGCCGGAAGGCCCGGGATCCGACGTCAGGCCTGAGCTGCAGGTTGCAGACGCGTCCCATTGCGGGCTCATAAACTTGTTTCCTAGGTTCGCTTTAAAATATGTTTGGCAAGAGAGATTTCTTTTCATACGGTAATCATTGGCCTTACAAGAGTTAGGCGTGGGGCTAGGGATTTAGCTCAGTGATTCCGCTGCCTGCCTCGAAAAGGCAAGGTCCCGAGTTTGATCCCCTGTACCAAAGAGTTAGGCATTATGTAATAGTTTAAAAAAATGTCCCTACTGTAAGACTCAAAGTCTCACACTCCACGGAGCGTGAACAGCCGAAAAGGCCTCCACGATGCTGGGTCCTAAAACCCAGCGAGGTTCCGGGAGCTCGACGGAGAAACGAGAAACCCAGGAGGGAACACACCAGGCTGGATGGTAAATAGATCTTTATTAGTCTGGCCAGACGGCACTCCCGGAGCCAGGTAGCTCAGAGAGGCAACTGCTCAGGGGCGGAGGTGCTTTTTATAGGGTTTTTCTAAACAAAAAGTCAGGGCATTCACAGAACTGTCGGAGAACAAGGCTTCAAACACATTGCGTATCTCCTGCAGGAATGTTCTACGGTCACCTTTTGACATACCATTTGCCCCTGGGCGGGCTGTTAGCCAATTTAGCAATTAGCATATGAAGAGCAGTTTGTAAAGAGCAGGGGAGAGCATTGTAAGCACCGTAAGTGGGCAAGGGGTCAGTTTTCTGCTATCCCTTAGGGGGTCTGGAAAAGTTTATTAGTTTCCTAGGTCTGCTTATATCACAAACTGGGCAGCTTAAAGTGATGGTGCTCTGTTAGTTTTGGAGGCTGTCAGGATGGCAGTGTTGCCCTGCTCCCTCTTCCTCCTTAGGGGCTTTCTACTCACCAGGGATTATGTGTATGCACCACCACACCAATTTTTCTTTTTATAATTTAATTCTCTTTTATATAATTTGTGTCTGCCCTAATGACCTCATTTTAACTCATTTACCTCTGTAAAGACCCTATTTCCAAACAAAGTGAAATTCTTAGGTACTGGGAGCTATTGCTTCTTTTTTGGGAGGACGCAGTTCAACCTGTATGACTAGGTGTAATTCTAGCTAGGTGTAATCCTGGGAGGCCAGCCTGGGCTACATAGAGTTCAAGGCCATCCTGAACTACACAAAGTGAGGTCCTGTCTCATAAAAACAAAACAAAACAAAACCCCCAACACAATTTAACCCATACAGAGGTTACTGATATCAACAATTTGTCAAGTGTCAATATTTAACATACCAGAGTGGTCATACAAGATTTTAACAAAGGAGTTTCATGGTTGAAATACATAAAACAAGTGAATACCTAAAATGAAAAGCTTTGATTGAAATTAGCATAACTTTAATATGACGAGACATTTGTAAAGACATGAAGAAATGCAAATTTGAGATGTGGTTTATGTAAAGAAATTTTTAAAATAAATAACATACATAAACAAATATGAGAAAATGAAAAAAATGGAAATAAAATGTTTGTAGATGGGGAGGGGAGGAGGGGGTGAAAGGAGGGCAGGGACAAGGGGAAAAAATAAGAACAAAGACCACCTGTCATGTAAAGGTACAATATACTGACAAAAAAATGGAAATAAAATGTTTGTAGATGGGGAGGGGAGGGGAGGAGGGGCAGGGACAAGGGGAAAAAATAAGAACAAAGACCACCTGTCATGTAAAGGTACAATATACTGTACTGTATATGTAAAATGTACCAATAAACTCAATAAAACAAAAAAATTTAAATAACATATATAATCATAAAGCATTTTGAGTTTTGCGAATCCTCTATCAGAATTTGAAAACTTTAAAAATGATTTGCTTTTCTTAAAATATTTACTTGAAAAGGCTCGCTGCACTGATTTTTACAGTACTTTTGACACACAGATGTTACCTGTGGATTTTTTGTCTTCTGTAGGTCCACGAAGGAGCTATAAAAATTTAGTGTGTCAGGCTGGGGATTTATTTAGCTCAGTGGTTCTGCTGCCTGCCTCACACGCACAAGGAAGGACCCGAGTTTTAGTGTGTCAACGGTCTTGCTCAGTGAAGGATATAAGCAAATAATGACTACAAATCAGTGCAATACATTGGACAGAGTAATTGCCTGAAGTTCTTAAATTTTGTTACTGTTTTAAATAAAATAAATATTTACTGTAGTATAGAAGCCAAAATGAGCGGGCTCTGGAGTCAGACTGCCTGGATTTAGAATTCCAGCTCTGTCTGTCGCTGGCTAGGTGGCTGTGAACACCAGCTGCCTGACCACCAGGCAATAATGCCCATGACTGTTTGGCTTTAAAATAGTCCAGATTCTTGTTTGTGTCTATCTCTTCTATTACCTCCCTAGAATTAGCCACTTTAACTTTTGGTTTTTGATTTAGTTTTTTTTTTTTTTTTTTTTTTTTTTTTTTTTTTTTTTTTTTTTTTTTTTTTTTGGTACTGGGGATGGAACTCAGGACCTTGTGCTTCCAAGGCAGGCCAGTACCACTGAGATAAATCCCCAGCCCCTAACTTTTGTGTTTTTGAGACAGGCCTTGAACTCACTATGCCACCCAGGTTGGCCTCACACTCACAGCCAGGAGGCTTTAGCCTCCTGAGTGCTGGGCTTGCAGGGGTGCAACACCATGCCCAGCTGAGAGTAGTGTTCTTTTTTGAGTACCCGGGATTGAACTTGGGACCTTGCACTTGTGAGGCAGGCGGTGGAACCACGAAGCTAAATCCCTGGACCAGAGTGGTGTTTTTAAGGTAGCCATCAGCGGCTGATGACATAGACTAGATCCTGAGGTGGGCCGGGGTTCAGGTCAGAGGCAGTTAGTAGCCCAAAGGAAGAGTGATATGGTTTTGGAAGGGAAACCAGGGTCCAGGTCAGGCCAGGCCTTGTAGGAGAAGGTAAAGAAAGGATTTGGATATCATTCCAAGATCAGTGGAAAACTACCAAGGTGTTTTAAGCAGGGGAGTTATGTTACCTGCTTTACTATCTGAAACTGGGTAGCCTGTGAAGAGGTGAGTCAGGGGAAGGAAGAATAAATACAAAACCGGAGCAAGACAGTGGCTTGGATTTGGTGGCAGTAGTATAAATGTAAGCAGCATGGAAGAGTTTATGCTTGAATGGAGCATCGACAGTATCTGTAATAGAATATCTTTATTTTAGGGGTTGAGATAAAGGGTAATTTTGTACCTGAAGTAGGGAATAATGAGAAGAAACTGGTTTCCTATAGGGGAAGTTGAGACAGATGACTTAGACATTCATTTGAAACTGTAAAGTTGGCACTTGAGTACCTGACTGGTGGTCAAGTAAGAGGTCCAAACTAGAGAGAAATTTGGAAGCCATCTGCATATGTGCCACTTAAGGATTGAGACCAGATTGTGATTATCTAAGGAAGTAGTGGAGTTGAATAACAAAGGGCTGGAATGGAGTCCTGGGCACTCCAGCACTGGAGGTTGGGAAAAGGAGGGTAAAATGGTAAAGGTACAAAATATAACTGGGGAAGCAAGAGGGAAACCACAGCATGGTCTTAACAATGGAAACCAGTAAGAGAGTTTCCATAGTGATTCTACACATTTCCCCATTTTATTCTCACTACAATGTGTGAAGAGTGTCTGAGAAACCCAAGGTGAAGTGAGTCCAAAGAACTTGAATGAAAGTATTCAGCTTGGAAGCCGAGGCTCTTAACTATTCTGTATACTTACTTTGTTGTTTGTTTGTTTTCTTGGTACCAGGGATTGAACTCAGGTCCTTGCACTTGTGAGGCAGGCAGCAGCAGCACTGAGCTAAATCCCCGGCCTTATTCTGTATACTTCCTAAAGAAAGTTGAGTTCAGTGTTGCTTGAGGGGTTGAAATGATTATAGTGAGACTTTTTTTTTGATGTGTGAATACACACACACACACACACACACACACACACAAGAAATATGCGTTTGTACCAATGTGTGTATTCAATACCTTAAAAATATTAATGGCTTTTCTTGGTATGGTGAAGCACACAGAATTGTGAAGAGAACCATATATATATTTATTATACAGTATATATTTATTATCATATGTATGCTTACATATGTTCCATAAAAATTGTGTTTTGAGGGCTGGGGATTTAGCTCAGTGGTTTGGTGGCCTGGCTTGCAAGTGCAAGGACCCGAGTTAAACCCCCAGTACCAAAAAAAAATTGTGTTTTGATCCCTGGTACAAAAACAATTATGTTGTTTGCTTATGAATAAATATTTATTATACAGGGCTTTTTGCCTGACGGCTATATAGTTCTCAGCCTAGCACTCATGACTTCAGAGACATTTCCGGACTTCACAAACCACTGGTTCAAAGTCTGTGAAGTATTTGATTTTGCTGTACAAATATATTGACCTTGCTCAGAGCCAACAGTGGTAAAGGGTTAGAGACAAAAGTCACTCTGAATGAAAACAGTAAAGTAAGAAATGGTGTAAAGGTTAAGCTGAAATGTGGATCAAAGGACATTTGTTTTTACTTGTTTTGTTTGAGACAGGAACTTGCTGTGCAGCTCAGGCTAGCCACAAACTCCTGGTTTTCCAACCTCTGCCTCCTAGGTGCCGGCCTTACAGGCCTGTACTACCAGTCTTGGCCTTTGTTTTCTAGATGGGGGGACTTTGCATGCTTATGGAGTGATCTAGAAGTAAAAGTGAGAAATGATATGAGAAGGAAATAATGACTGAAGATGTGCTGCTTTGGAAAGGCAACTGGAGATGGGATTCAAAGCAAAGTGGAGAGATCCAGGGAAGCTTCAGCTAAACTGGACTAGATAGAAGCTTACAAGTGGCTAAGTAAACAACACTCTCACAAGACTAGCTCAGGCTTGTTTGTGATTTAAGAGTGCACATGTGTGCTAGGGATTGAACCCAGGGCCTTGCATGTGCTAGGCACATCAACATCCCCTCCACTCCACCTCCAGCCCAGAAAAGGAAATTGTTGGAGAGATACAAGAGGAAAACTCTTGGACATTCAAAGGAAATAAGGTGTGGCTGGACTTGCCAAAACCTGAGTGAGAAAACCGAGGTGTCTTCCTTTGACTCTTGAAGTATACCACCTTCACTCATTCTCTGAAAACAGCTCCTTGTGACTCTAGCTCAGGTTCCCACTATCAGCAGATGAGCCAGTCTCTTAGATGGCAGCTGCAGTCAATCCAGTCCATTCTTGGTCTCATCAGCTGGCTACAGGGGGATAGAGGAGTCCGTTTGTGGATATGTAGGGTTACACCTTCTGGATCCCTTTAAGAAGGGAGTTATGTTTTGAGGGGCAATGACAGCCATGTTTATGATGTGTAGGAACCCTTTTTTTGTTTGTTTGTCGAGACAGAGTCTTGCTATGTAGGCTGGTCTTGAATTTGCAGTGATCCACCTGCCTCAGCCTCCGGAGTACTGGGCTACAGGCATGCACCACCATACCCACCCTATATATAGGTACTTTTATTCAAAGCAAGAGCACAGATAATGTGGTACCATCCTTCTAAGTAGGTCATATATAGGCACCAGTTACTGTATACGATGTGTGAAGGGTGTGCTTCTTTTGCACAGCTGACTCAGATGCACATCTGTTGAGCAGATGCAGTGGGACCTGCCTACTTGAGCACACATATGTCTACTGGCCAGGGCCACTGTCCCCTGAGGGACACATAAAGCTCAAGAGAGTAAAAACATAGACCTTCCTAATCTAATGACAAGCTTTAAGTATTTCAATTTTTTTTTTTTGGTACTGAGGATCAAACTCAGGACCTTGTACTTATAAGGCAGGTGGCAGAACCACTGAGCTAAATCCCTGCAAGCTTTAAGTATTTCATGTGTAGGGGATGGGGATGTGGCTTGTCTATCAGGCCCTGCATCAGATCCCTAGCACAGTGTGTGGGGGTACAAATAGACAGAGGTAGTAGATGAGTTTCACTTTAGGGTCTGAACAAACATGGGTTACTCTGATGCAGTAAGTAACATGTATTTTGTTAACATGAAATTTATACATAATGCATGTAGAATTCCTACTTCCTCAGTGGAGCTCTAGGAACTTGAGACTATATTGTTAAGTAAATCAGGCACAGAAAGTAAAATATCGCCTGAATTCTCTTATGTGAGAAACCTAAAATATAAATAAATAGAGTAAAATAAAGGAGAGAAGCTGGGAGTCACAAACTTTTGGGAAAGGGGGAAGAGAATGGGGAGGGGGGATAGGTTGGGATGGGTAAAGGGATAAAAAATGATCAAGATATATTGTATGCACATACGAGTTCCCCAAAATGAACATAACTAGCATGTATTACAAACATAAACTAATAAATGAAATTACTGACTAGTACCAAGAAGTTTTTCTCCTCTGGCCGGGTGTGGTAGGTAGCATGTGCCTATAATCCTAGCTCTTGGGAGGCTGAGACAGGATTGCAGAGGGTGGCTTGAACTGTATAGCAAGACTGTTTCAACACTGCCCCCACAAATACAATCTTTCACCTTGAACCTAGGGGATATCTTATTATAACATTCTTGTAGTTCTTAGTAAGTTCTAAGGATTACATATATGTATAATTTTAACATTTCTCCCTTGGAAGATTATGATACTGCTTGAGTATAAGGTCTGTATTTTGCATATCACAAAAGTCCATGTGATGCCTTAAGGTAAGTGATCTCAAAATGTTTCTTAAGCAAGTGAAGGGTCAAATAATTGCAAACATGTTAGTCACTTCTCCCTGACCAACTTGTGTGAACCACCTCTGTCAAATACAGGTCACATCGAATATTTGTAACGTTGACATTTTAAAATCAGATCAAACCAGGCCCAATCTAAGGCAATATTCCCAGCATTCCAGAGGCTGAGGCAAGAAGATTGTCATGAGTTCAAGGCCAGCCTTAAATACATAGTGAGACACTGTTAAAAAAAAAAAACAACAAAAATACAAATACCTATTTATTTATTTTATGAGACAGGTTCTCACTATGTAGTTGAGACTGACCTGGAACTCACTATGTAGCCCAGGCTGGTCTCAACTTACAGTGATCCTCCTGCCTCAGCCTCCCAAGTGCTGGCATTACAGGCATGCGCCACCATGCCAGACTAGATACTTATTTCTTACGGTAAAGTTGTTTAAGTTTTCACATAAAAATGACTTATTCCATCATCTTAACACTGAAAAATTAAACTGTGTTCTTCTGTCTAGAAAAACATGCTCTTTAAGCATTCATTTGTGTGTATTTGTTCTCATCCAAGTACTTAATTTTTTTTTTTTTTTTTGGTACTGGGGATTGAACTCCGGACCTTGAGCTTGGGAGGCAGGCAGCAAAACCACTAAGTCAAATCCCCGGCCCTCCAAGTACTTAAGTTTTAAAAAATAGTTTCCATCCAGACACTTTTAAAAAGCCATGTCAAGGAGGTACTTGTTAGTAGTTGTATACCTGTTCATAACCTCTACATGTCAAATCTGCTTTCTCGTGCATATAAATTGAAAGTTTTAATCATTCAGTGAGGACAAAGTATGTTTAATCTGAAAAGGTAAGTTTTTGGGTCATTTGAAAGCTTAGATATTTGTAGGTTTGCTCTATTGTGAGATATGATTCCTACTATAACTTTCAACTGTCAATAAGATTAGATTCTAAATATAAGCTGTCATTTTTTGAATGACCTCACAAGATAAAATTTTTTTATTATTTGTTCTTTCAGTTTCAGATCAGGTAGGTCTCTGAACTATGCCCCTACGTTTTCAGAATGTGTCTTGCTGGCACTGTTTGCTAAGAATGGTGTGGTAAGAACTGAGGTTTTTTTTTTTGGTGCTGATGTGGAACCTGGGACCTTGCACATGCTAGGAGTGTACTCTACTACTGAGCTATACCTCCAGCCTCCTGTTCCCTTTCTTAATAGATAATTTATCTGGTAATATAGGCTATATATATGTGAGATGTGTTCCCTTCATATAAATCTGAGAAATCTGTCAGTAAATGAAGAGAAATGAAGTTTTATTAAAGAAAAAAATTTTTTTTTGAGACAGGGTCTCATGGTATAGTTCGGGCTGGCCTGGAACTCAGCATGCAGCCTGTGTTAGTGTCGAATTCATGATCCTCCCACCCCAAGCTCCTGAGTGCTAGGATTATAAGCCTGTGTCACCATGCCTGGATTAAAAAAATGTGTGTGTGTGTGTGCACGTGCAATGAAAATATTGTGATATACTGATTATATAATTATGAATTTAGATTTAACTCAAAATGGCAGTATTTTTTTGCACAAAATGTCAATGTATAAAGATTGTAATTAAGAAGGTTTTTTTTTTGTTTTTTTTTTTTTTTTTTTTTGTACTGGGGATTGAACTTGGGTCCTTGTGTTTGCAAGGCAGGCCACTGAACCGCTGAGCTAAATCCCTGGCCCTTAAGAAGTTTTAAGATGACAGACTCATCAAAAGTTAAGGCATACATTTCCAGTGACATTAATCAGTATATATTAATAGTAGTATTTATTACAACATAGCCATTTTTCTGATTTATGAAAGTGATACATGCAGATTGTGGAAAACTTGGTAATAAAAGTACAGAACGGTGATGTAGCTTACTGGTAGTGCACTTGCCTAGCATGCACAAAGCTTCGGTTTGATCCCCAGCATTGCCCAAAACCTCCAAAACAGCACAGAGGCAGAAATAAATCACTAATTTCATCATTGAGAAGAAATTGTGTACATTAGTATTTTTTACATTATAACATATTTATATTACAGGAAATAAGACATGTGGAGCGAAATTATGTATCAAAACCTACTTTGAATGTAAGTAAATTTAAATTGTGCCTTAAAATCTCAAGAATTTAAAGAAAATGTAATTGATAAAAATGCACACATTTCTGACTTGAGTTTAGGGGCTGGGGATATAGCGGTAGAATGTTCACCTAGCAGTGTGAGGCCTTGGGCTCTATCCCCAGTAACACACACACTCACAAAGTATTCTCTGACTTGAGCTTATCTGAAGATCAACACAGGATTATGCAATGGTTAGGAATAGCTAAATATTCAAATGTTAAATTAAACTCCTAGATTATCAAAAACAAATTTTTTAGTTCCTTTTCTTTTTTTTTTTTTGGTACCGGGGATTGAACTCGGGTCCTTGCGCTTGCAAGGCAGGCCACCGAACCGCTGAGCTACATCCCTGGCCAAATTTGTTAGTTCCTGAATAATTCCTTTTACTTCTCCATAGCCTGTCATAAAACAACTTTCTAAAACTGGGCAGTCATTGTTCTTTTTACTCTCAGGGACTGTTACTGTATTTTGCATGGCAAATGCAGGGGCCACATGGAGGATTCTAGAAGAGAGGGACTGACCAGCTAGGATTAGATAAGAATGGCCATCATCCTGTCACCTGGTTAGTGCTTTCTGAGGGGACCTCTCTTTGTAGTAAAAGGCTCCTAAATTAGTAGTATCTTTCTATGTAATTATTCTAGAAGCTTAATAAGAATTTGTGGAAGACAAGTGTGAGGAGAGAACTGATACAATGGGACTTTATGGTACAGTATTTAAGAGAGCTTTTATTTCGTTTTTTTTTTTAAATTTAGAGTTCCCTTTCATAAGGAAGCTTTTAGTTAAGGTTGTTCATTTTGTAGTTAACAAGAATAAAGTGATTATTTCTTAAATTTTTTTACTGAGCAGTAGAACTGAAACTTAAGGTACTGGCCTCAAAACTGTGGAGAACTAGGAAGGATCTTCACATTTGTTTTTGTAGTTCATTTTTCTAGGTTTTATTAGGTCTTAAATCATAAAGGGCTGGCATTCATTAGATACAGATTAATCTTTGGTAACTACTCATTCATAAAAATAGCCTCTTGCTTATATCATGTGAATATTTATTTAATGAAACATAATTTGGGTGAAGTACCTACAGTAATTTTATTATCTTCTATCTGGCCAGGAAGTTGTCATAGTAAGTGCTGCAAGAACACCCATTGGATCCTTTCTAGGCTGCCTTTCATCACTGGCAGCCCCTCAGCTTGGTTCCATTGCAATTCAAGGAGCCATTGAAAAGGCAGGTTAGTAGGTGCTTTGCTTTTTGTATTGGGGCGCAGAATGATTCATTGGAACACGTGTTTATTTTGTACACTTATTTTGTACTTATTGTATATGTAACTTAGAAATGATATCATGCTTACATTTCTGAAATCCTTTGTAAAGACTTTGTAAGTCTTTGTACTGAGGAATGAAACACAAAACTGACAAGAAATCATTCCTGCTAGGTAATATCCTATTTATTAGGTAATCACTTATTAAATTGAATAAAAATTGGAAATGCTGTTTTGATGTTTTCAAAAGGGATTCCAAAAGAAGAAGTGAAAGAAGCATATATGGGAAATGTTCTACAAGGAGGTGAAGGACAAGACCCTACAAGGCAAGCAGTGTTGGGTGCAGGTACCAGGAATACGTTTTTATTTTTTACCTAGAATGTTCAAGATGACAAAATAGAGGTCATTTTAATTTAAATAAAATGTGAAATGCATAATATAGCTTGCATAGATATTGGTAGAAATTTTGATTATAGTAACATGCTCTATTGTATTACATTTTACAGTCATGTTTGAAAAATGAGTATCTCTATTTCTAAGAAGTGTGATATATGTTGGTTTTAGGTTTACCTATTTCTACCCCATGTACCACTGTAAACAAGGTTTGTGCTTCAGGAATGAAAGCCATCATGATGGCCTCTCAGAATCTTATGTGTGGACATCAGGTAAGATCATCATCATTTTATCTATTAATTATAATATTGTTTTAAAAGACACTGAAAATTCTGCATAAGCATGCTCTAGAAATGAGATTCTTGGGCCGGGGATTTAGCTCAGCGGTTCGGTGGCCTGCCTTGCAAGCGCACGGACCCGAGTTCAATCCCCAGTACCAAAAAAAAAAAAAGAGATTCTTGTTAAGTTGCTGTGTTGTCTCATGTATTCAGAAGTGTCTGGATTTATAGTTCCTCTGGAGTATAGGTTAAAGTGCTTAGGATAAATGCCTTATTTCAGCTGGGGCATTTTAGTCTGGAAATAAGCCTTTAGTCGTCTTACTCTGAGATTAAATGATTAAAAAAACCAAGTTCTGTATTTGCCAGAATAAGGGTTTTGCTTTGCTTTTTTGAAATAGGGTCTCACTGTGTAGCCCAGGTGGGCCTTGAATTCATAGTGATTCTGCTGCCTCAGCCTCCCAAGTGCTGGGATTATAGGCACGCACCACTACACCCAGCTAAGCGTTTTTATTATAAAGGAGAACAAATGCTGACCTTGAGGATCAGATCATTGATGGAGTCCAGGATTGATAACTGGTTTGTAGTTCCTACAAAGCCCAGATTCAGTTAAGTTTGCAGGCTTTTCATTGGCCTTGTTCTAGCTTGTCTTTATCTAGCCCGTCTTTAACTGAATGAGACTGACCAAAAGAGAGGCCACTCAGCAAATACAAGCTGTGACATTAGGAGACTAGATCTAAATTTACAACTAATATTTGAATGGACCCAGGTCCCTCCTTTTTCTAATGAAGAAGGTGAAGCATAAAGTTGTAGGACCAAAGTAAGAAAGCACTCCTAATGTATGCATTCCAAAGGTCTAACACTACCAGGGTAAGTCAGTTGTAAGGTGTCTAAAAATTCAGATGGTGTAGAAGATGTAAACTGCTCTTTGAAAACAGAGAAATGTGGGTCCAGTTAGCTCTATGTGACACTTAATGTCTTGGAAAGCTGTTAGCACATAGGATAACATTCTGTTTGAACTGAATAAATATACAGTAGCATATTTACAGGTCCTTACTGAATGAGCATCTGTGTGGTCTCCACTTCTTTAGTTTTTAATGCTCCTGATGTATTTGTTTTTTTGTTTGTTTGTGGGTACTAGGGATTGAACTCAGGACCTTGCACTTGTGAGGCAGGTGCAGTGCCAAATCCCCAACCCTGATAAACACACACACACACAATTCAACTCCAAGTGTAGTAGTTATGAGGAAAAAGTTTAGAGCTAATTCAAATCCTTTTGCCTCTTTCAAAATCTTTTGCCTCTTTCTACCTGAGTATATGACAGTAAGTAGCAATAGGGTAGCAAATAAAATACTAAAAATTGAGTTATGCCCAAGTCTTTTTAGAAAAACTCCTAAAAGTGCTGAGATCTTAAAAACTTGATATTTTACTAATAAGTTATATCAGCTATACTTGAAAAGTTTTGTGAGCTTTTTTTGACTATAATCACTAGCATCGGGTGTTATCAAATTCTTGTCAAACTAGCAGATGAAAAATGGTAATGAGATTTGTTTAGATACTCCCAAACTGTTTTAGTGATCTTAATTGATTTATTGGGTGTTCTAGAAAATGCTATATTGAAATACTTAGTATTATTTGATTCATTTGTGCGTGTATATAATGACTTACAGACATACAAGGAATTATTTAATATTTATCTGTAGTTTTGGAAAAGTCAGTTTTTTATAATGAAAAATAATTGATGCCTTTTCTTTCATTTGTTATTGCCATAAACACTAGAAGAACCATTTCACAATAAGTGAAAAAAACAGATAAGAAATTAAGAGTCTCCATATTTAAAAAATTTTTTTAAATTTATTTTTTTGGTACTGGGGATTGAACTCAGGACCTTGTGCCTGTGAGGCAGGCAGTGGCATCATTGAGCTAAACCCCTGGCCCTGTCATATTTTAGAATAAGCAAAATATTTAGGTTTGTTTGAAGAATTTCTGTTTCTTTTTATTGTGTGGTAAATGGCATTACTTTTGGTTGCGTTAATGCTTTGTAGTAAACTGTTATAAATTAGCCCTTATAATGTAAGTAAATTTTTGTTGACTTGTAATAATTAATTAGTATGTATTAAACTTCTATGAAGTAGCTGCTGAGGGCATAAAAACATGAGTCTCTGGCCCCAAAGGAACTTAGCTAGTCTTCCATCCCAGACCCATTGGCTTCCTGATACAGACTTGCAGGGGACATTGTAGTGAGCTCTAGACCTTCAACTGGATTCTTAAGATCTCCAGGGTGCAGACAGACTGTATACTCTTGCACATCCTACTCTGGGTGGCCATTACTTCTGGGAAGATGGTGGTGTAGTGAACAACAGAGAAACAGCCTGAGATTTGGTGTCCAGACACTGGAATATAGCAACGTGAGGAAGAGGAGGAGGAAAGTGGGTCCTCTAGGACCCAGAATGGACTGGAAGAGAGAACTGAAGGCTACGAGAGTGAAGAGAGAAACTTTAACACAGAAGGAGGAGTTGGGAAGCAGCATTTTCTCTCTGAGCTCTGACTCACTTTGTGGAAGGGGTGGCTTAAAACTGCAGATGCAAGGTGACTACTGGTGACCCAAGAAGCCACCATGGAGTAACACATCAGGGGAATGGAGCAGTGAGTGAAGTAGACTGCAGTGGCTGATGAGTTGTTCTGATTCAAATGTCCCCAGGGAGAGGGCTGTTGGCTGGTAGCTATCTTGGAGACAAGCCAACTGAGCAACTGAGGGCTGGCTCCATCTAGCAGCTCCCAGTGTCGGGGTGAAGCAGAACCAAGTTCATGTTGTCAGGATGTCAAGAAGTCAAGTTCAAGCCAGCAGGAAGCATGCAGTGTTGCAGGTTAAAAAGATTGGGTTCCAGCCTCACAGCCAGAAACCAGCCTGAATTAAAGATGCAGCTAGGATTTTCCACTAGCCTGCTATAAATCTGTGGCTGGATTGCTGGGATTAATCAACAGGGATCTAGACCCTGTCTGCCCATTATCAGTGACACGCCCTGTCTACCAGACACATCCTGAAGTAGATTTTCTGGTTTGTTTTACATTTTGTTATTTAACCACAAATATAGTTCATAGAGTTAAAGGTGGCAAATTAATAGTTACCAGGTCTCTAGGCTGTATGATGTTATTTTTATTACTGATTGTACTATTTTAGCCAAGGTGACATAACTGTTCTAATTATTCATTCTTCCTGGTATGTCAAGACTGAGATTGCCAAAGGCTCATAAACAATACTATAGGCTACTGGCAAAGAATCGGGCTAGTCAGCAGAATAGGCAGCAACTGCTCAGCCCCAATAATTTGAAGAGGTGGGATCTTGCAACAGACTCAAAAGCCGAAAATCAACTATACCTGGAAGACCTGAGAAGTAATCATTTCCTAAGGGTTCTAAACACTAGCAGTAAAGCTACCTGCCATAAGTAATTTACAATGCAGGCATCCACCCAGGAATTAAACTAAAAAAAAAAAAAAAAAAAAAAAAAA